TTAATACTTTTATAGATTTTGATGTTCTTTAAAAATTTTAAGCTGATATTTTTAATATTTAATGTTCTTTAAAAAAATTTTAATTTATTATTTTTTTTTTTTTTATGCAATAAAAGAATAAATATAAAAGAAATTTTTGTTGTATATAATAATAAAATAATAAAAATAATACTTACCTTTGAGCTATAAAATAATCATTAGTTACAAATCACATTGTACGTTCGCTGATATTAAATGCTTAAAAGATTTTAAATAAAATGAATACACAAACACTTCGTGATACATTGCGAAAATAAAAAACCAGGGCGAAAGAGAATTCTAATCAACGTGAAATTTGTCGTGCATGTGATAGAAAGAATAAACGTGCAAAAAGAGCTGTTGAAACTGCAGAACAGCGTGAATTACGATTGAGAAAAAACCGTAAACGATATCATAGAAAAAAAGAAACCTATGTCTTAAGGAATGTTGATGAGCGACTCAATAGACAAAACGATGAAACTCTGTTTCAAGATACTGATGATAGACAACAGGATGAAACTTGGATCCAAGATCCTGATGAATGCTATCTTTCTGAATCAGACTGAAAACTTCTACAAAACTTTCGTTCAGAGATTAATAGCTTCACGAATAATCTTTGTCCAACATGTAAAGAATGTTTCCCTTCCATTAAACTTGAACGGGAAGAAGAATGTCGTCATTGTCACTTTGATAAAAATCCATTGAAAAAATTTTCTGCTGCTAACAACATGGATCCAGGTGATGCCCCAGACGAACTACGAGACCTTATTGAAATAGAGGAAATGTTAATTGCGCGTGTCTTTCCTATTATTTCGGTATATTGTCTTCGTGGTGGCCAGTATGCATACTATGAAAATATTATCAATTTCCCACAAAACGTAGTAGAGTTTGTAACACGGCTACCCAGGAATCCTTCATCTCTTGATGTACTTGTTGTGTAATGTCAGTCTGCAAATGGATTGACATTTAGAAATTTTACCATTCGTCGTACTAAGGTTACTTGTGCATTGTATTGGTTAAAACAAAATAACTGTTATTATGGAGATATTATAATCGATGAAGAAGTATTGCTATTCTTACCTAAAAATGGTCAATAGGTGACTACCTTCCGCAAATTGAGGATTCAGAAAATGTTTTTAATGATGACGACGACGGATCCGAAGAAATAATAGGGAGTAACTTTGTTCCCGCTCCTCTTCCGTGTCCTAATGAAGAATGTGTTGTTAATAACACATTTAATAGAATGCAAGATAATGAATCTCCTATTATGTGGCCGAATATAGATAGGAACCCTATTAATGAATTTCAAACTCCCAGATACATCGCATGTGCCTTTCTGACTCTATATCTATACGGAAATGCTGATCTTTGTTCAGATCATGTTAGAGAGATCAAGCCCGCTGAATATTTTTTACATTTATTAAAGTATAAAGACGGAAGGTTCGCTTATCATCCTCGTTGGAAATATTTTGCGCTAAATTCACAAATGCAATGGAGAGCATTGCAGGAAGGCAAAGTGTATGTTAAGTAAATTCTGAATGATAAACAATATACTGTTGAAGAAGTACAAAACATGGTGGAAAATGATAGTCATATGGCGGATAGAATCGTACGATTTGGTGAAGCATTACGTGGAACCCAGCAATTTTGGATTAGGAGAAGATTTGAGCTTGCTAACATGATTAGACAGTTAGGGTCTCAGGGTATGGTATTTTTCACTTTCAGTGCTGCTGACCTACATTGGCCTTAACTACACAACCTTATGCCGCATAGTGAGAGTTCTTTAACAGAACAGAATGAAAATAGATATAAGCGCCAAGACTTGATTGATAATTCTCACATCGCTTCGTGGTTTTTTGAAAAATGCTTTAAATTGTTTTTGGAAAAAGTATTAGTATCTAAATGGAAACTTGAGGATTATTGGTACAGGTTCGAATGGCAATACTGCGGAAGTACACATGTACATGGTATTGGAAAAAGGAAGGATACTCCAGTTATTTATTGGGAAAAAATGAAAGAGAATGAAGACATGATAAGTAACGTGATACAATATTTAGATTCATAAGTTACCATAATCAATCCCGATCTTGACCCACCTGTGCCTGATCACTATCCATGTCAGAAACATCCCAAAGAATTATGCGATGACCTACAAGATTACATTGAGCTAGTTAACAAACTACAACGCCATACTAGATGTAATTCTTTATATTGTCTTCATGTGGATCGCGCAGGTAAACAAATTTGCAGATTTGGCTATTCGAAAGATATTATGAATGATACATACCTACGTAAGGAGAATGGACAATTCGAGCTAATTACGGCGAGAAACTATTCGTATGTCAATCTACATGATCAATTACAGCTTCAAAGTTAGCGTGCGAACGTTGATTTAAAGCCGATTCTCAGCATGAAGACTGCTTTACAATATGTATCCAAATACGCGAGTAAATCAGAACCACAATTCGCAACATTCATGGAAATATTGAAAAAGATTCTCAATGATAGTACTCCCGATACTTTATCCCTGTCAGTCTTCCAAAGTTTATTGTTTCAGACGGTTGCTGAACGTGATATTTCAGCTCAAAAAACGTGTCATCTGCTTCTTGGCATTCCATTATATCATTCCAGCCACCAGTTTGTTACTTTGAACCTTAACAAACAAACTCATCAGTAGATTTGTGAAACAGGAAATAGTGATGAAGTAAGTTTTATGGCCAATGGTGAAGTCGGGCGAACAATACAATCTTCTTTACAAAAATACTGGATTCAGCCTGTTGAACTCAAAGACGTTTCACTTTACCAGCTTCATCTAAAGTATAACTATTAGAGAGGTCAGTGAAAAAAATGTAAATGAGAAAATATAGTGCGTATTTAGCCACAACCTTTATCTCAGATTAATAGACCTCAATGGGAAGAATTTTGTCGAGTCAAGATCCTTCTCCATGTTTGTCAATAAGACCTTAATCAATTAACCGAAAATGATACGATTTCGTGGTCAGACCTTTTTAATCAGTATCGTGAAAAAATTGAAAATGAGCCCGATTTACTTGGTCCTCCTGTAGATGTAGAGAATGAATCGAGTGATGATGAAACTGATTATACTGATTATGAATACGAAAAAGATGAAGAACAGATCCGACCTGATTGGATGATTCTATCAGAAATGGGACCCGATGCAATTATGGAAAATTTTTCAGAGTTGGGATTACGTGACATTGATAAAAATTATGACTGGGCTGGTGATGTTAGATGACGTTGTCCCGATATCAATCTTGCAGATGCACCAAATTTTATACAGCAAGCTCGAGAATTATGCGTTGTTAATGATGAGAATGCTACTAATTGTGTTGTTAACTATCAATCATTAAATGACAACCAGATGAGAATATTCAAATGAATCGAATCTCACTATAGCACCTTAATTACAGATCCTGGCCATATTGAATCTCTCAGACTTATTGTAATGGAAACTGCGAGGACGGGAAAATCGTATTTGATTAATATGATTCGAGATCAGCTTCAAGAAATTGCAAGAAACTATAATATCGAAGCACAATTACCCATTCTTGTGGTTGCGCTAACTGGAGTTGCAGCATTCAACATTTGTGGTATGATGATCCATTCTGCACTGTTCATTCCGATATCTAGCAATAATCTCAATTTGAATGGTGAACGCCTGAAAAAATTACAAAAAAATTAGAAGGCGTATCATACCTTATTATTGACGAAAAAGTATGGTGGGCCGTCGTATGCTTGCCATAATTGACATGAGACTATGACAAGCATTCCCTCAGAAGCAAAATCAGGTATTTGGTGGACTATCAGTTATCTTAGTTGGTGATTTTGATCAGCTCCCACCAGTGCTTGACGAACCAATGTACTCTCAAATTTCTCGACGCGATCCATTATCAACCGATGGTATTACAGTATATAGACAGTTCTAGGAAGTCTATAAGCTTGATATTATCCAACATCAGTCAAGAGATTCTGATCATCAGCGTAATTTTAGATCTATATTATTGCAGTTGCGTGACGGTAAATCTACAGTAGATGACTGGAAAATGCTTGCCACACAATTTGTTGATGCATCAAATGTATTACCTACAGAATTCTTGGATGCCATATGTGTTTGCCTCAGAAGTCAGAAGTTGCCAAATTCAACATTAATAAGCTCAAAGCTTTAAACTGTCCTGTTGCTAGAATAAATGCTATCTATACAGGTAGTAGTGAAACGCATAAGACTGATTCAAACGTCACAAAAGGACTTGAGCCTCAATTGTTGCTAACAAAGGGTGCGAAAGTTATGCTCAGGGCTAACTTGTGGACGGAATCTGGATTGGTCAATGGTTCAGTGGGTATTATTCAAGAAATAGTATTTGAAGAAAATCAGTCTCCTCTTTCACTTCCTATTGCCGTCCTAATAGAATTCGACAACTATTCTGGCCCGGCTATTATTACTGCTGAAGGTAAAAGGCTTGTTCTGATTTCACCAATCAGACAGAGTTGGGAGGGAAAAAAAGGAACTTGCTCTCGCTTGCAAGTCCCCATTTGTCTTACGTGGGCCATAACTGTACACAAGAGCCAGGGATTAACAATGCAAAAGGCCGTGATGGATCTTAGAAAAAAGGAGTTTGCTGCAGGACTTTCTTTTGTAGCGATCTTGCGGGTTTGTGCTCTCAAAAATATACTTTTTCAACCATTTTCTTTTGAGAGACTCCAGCGTATCAAAACTTGCAAGAGACTACAAGAGAGAATGGCAGAAGAAATACGGTTAAGATCTATGATTCCTCAAAATTGAATGAAATTTTTTTTTCGTTTTGGTCAAAAACACAATTAATTTTTAGTGTTACATTATTATGTTACATATTGTTACATTTTTGTAGTTAGTGTTACATTTTACTATAATTTTTATTTTTTTATTGTATCACATAATTGTAATATATTTAAAGATTTTATTTTACTATAAATTTTATAAATTGAATTACGCTTCGGACACTCCAACGGTTACCGTTACCTAGTTTATATAGTGGCTTACTTAGATTTGGTTAACTTTATCTAATCTTATTTTTTTTTTTATTTTTTTATTTATGTACAATCATAGATCCTCGTCGAAAAGGACCGATACTCGAACGCGTAATATAATTATAACACTTCTACTATCTAATCATGGTTGACAGCAGGACGGGAAACGTAAATACTTTAATACTTGACGGTATGATTTAGTAGTGTATTGTATTGTGTGCGTTTGTGGAATTTAACTCTTGTCCGCCGTCCTATACAATGGGCGTGCAACTCGCCGTCCTATAAATGGGCGTGTAACTCGCCGTCCTATAAATGGGCGTGAAACTCGCCGTCCTATACAATGGGCATGCAACTCCCTTCGGTTTTTCTGAAGTGAATGATGTGTAATCCATATTATATTTTAACTATCATAGATCCACTATCTTACAAAAAACGGACGTGCTGTGGAAAGCCGGAGCTAACAGTTTTTGTATCAGGATCAATCAAAGGCATAAAACATGGTGAATTGGAATCATGGTTGCGGAGAATTACCCCCACTACATTTTAAAGAGAGAAGCAAGTGAATGGGGACATGTTCATTTCGGTACACATTATGATGCGTCCAAGTTTTTCAACGAAATGAAAATAATCCTTTCACAGGACCACATGAGTGTGAAATCAGATTTTCTAATGCAACATATTTTAAGACCAAAAGAATAGTTGAATACATTAACGTAAGTTTTTTTGGATAGACTGATTATGTTGTATATATCTTGATGTTTTATTTATCTTTTTCTTAGACATCTAGACCTAGACCGGCATATACTCCAACTTCATCATCATCACAAACTGATGAAAAAAAATTGGTGTCCTTAAAACAGTCTTTGCAGAATAAATCCCAATATGCATTGTATGATAACGGGGAAGGGTCTGTATTGGTCAATATCTTGTATTGTTTGACATTGTGCGTAAACTAAATCTCTTTGCAATAGATTTTATATAATTAAGATACATACTCCAGGAATTCAGCGAAAAGACCAAGTACAAATTGATGTCGCTGATGACGATCGATTTGTCATTATTTTTGCCGAGATTTGACAATTGGAGAAAACGGTATGGGGATTACAGAAATTGAAAATAATCTTTCCACTAAGTTCGAAGTAAATGTTAATTTACCAAGGATGTAAGTTATAGTGTCAATTTGATACTTTTTGGCTATCAAATTAAGGGTTATTTAACGCCATTCTTTCTAATATAGGGTATGCACAGATTATCCGGTCAATGTTAACGTTGAATATGGTATCACGACTGCAAAGTTAGCTAGAGATACTTTTTAAAAAGATACTTACAGAATTATATATGATAATATTAATTAATAAATTAATATATAAAAATTTATTAATTTAACAAGTATAAAATTTAGTAATTAAACAAGTATAAAAGTTTATTGATTTTAACTTATATAAAATTTAATATATCTATATATATAATAGATTTTTAAACATTTATAATTTTCTTATACATATTTCTTAAAAGTTTATAAAATTAAAAGATTTAAGATGTATTATTGCTAAAATGATAAAATTGAAATTTAATTAAATAAAAATAGTTTCTTTTAGCATTACTTTTGATATATTACAATTCACCATCTCACGTGATTCTTTGTGGGGACGAATAACGGTGACAAATATGATTTTCACTCCCAAAAAATTCGTCCCCAAAATGTGCGGGATGAAATTTTTTGTGGTAAGATAACGTATTTTCGGCTAAACATCACCTAGTAATAAGAACTAAATATAGAAGTCAAACAACAGATCCTCCTTTTTGATCATAAATATACAGGTATAAAGCTGGTTCTTGACTTAACCTGATGAGAAAAAAAATATTTTTTTTTCATTGTAACCTGTAATATAGCAGGTTCCTTAAAACCGCAGCAAAGGTTAATACACAAAATACGTACTACTAATTTATATAAAATATTTTATTAAACTTAGATTTACGTATAATTTATATAAGTTTTTACAATTTTTTTAAAATCTTATTCCTTAGCCGAATCTAAATTATCAAAGGCAAACATTACTATTGAACATAATTTCTAAATAAAATATTTATCAATCGAATTAATATTTGCACAAACCTGATTTGGAGTTATAAATTCGGGGTTTGCATAAATAGATGCTCCACAAAAACTACCTTCAAATATACGAATGACATTGAGAACAAATCTCGGTCCAATTTCTACAAGAGAAATGTTCTTGTCATTTACTTTTGTATCGGAGCTTTTCAGGTCCTTCTCAACAACCTAATTAATAAAGGGATATTGTTAAAATATTGAATTATGAGAAAAAGGAAATTAAAGTTGATTTCTTTAAGAAACCTGAAAGTTTCGGAACCATATCCGATTATCCACTATCGTAAATGATATAACATGATCAATGAATGGTTTTGATCGACGGGCACCCTTTGGAACTCCAAAAATCTATTAAATTAATAAAATAAATAAAATACATCATATATAAAATTCACTTGATCATAATCATATAAACTTATAAGGTATAACGTACATGAGTAAAAACTTCTTTAATCAAAAGTAAGCAAGGTTCTGAATCGAAATTTTTATCAAATGATAGGATAGGGCGGGAGCCTTTCAAACAATTACCATGCATATTCAACTCATTCATTGTGTGAACTTTCAAAAAAAAAAAAAAAAAAAAAAAAAATATTATTAATATCGAAAACAATTCGGATCTTATCAAGTAATTGTTAACAACTTACTATTTTGTACATGGAATTTTATACTTGGACCATTCGGAGTCTTGCTTGTCCACATATAAAGGTCCTGATGTTTACGTACCTCAAAAAATACACAATTATTACAATTATTTAATTCGGCAAGTTCATTGAGAATTCTAAGATTAAATTTTGTATCAAGCTTTGAATCTATGATTAAATAATTTATTAGTAAATTTTGTTCAATGCAAGAATTAAAATAAAGTTGTATCGATGAAATCAAACCTTTTTTAAAATGAGGAAAAAGCGCCTCTAGGTCATTCAGGAGGTGCCTTTGACTAATATCGTAAAGTAAATGTTAAAAGAAATTTATTAGATAACTTTAACTTTTGAACTACATATGCGAACCGATAATTAATTCCTCTCGAAGACAAAACTAGAACTCTCTGCTTGTTTTTAACTGATTTTTTATCAGTGGAGACCTCTCCATTCTTTTCATTATTATCGGCAGCATTCTTCTGTGCTTTAGCTAATTTGAATATTGTAGCCATTGAAAAAAAAAAAATGAATAAGTGTTCACTCAACATCTAGGTTATATTGTTTCAACAAATCATGTGATACCAATTGATTTGGTTAGATGTATATTAGATGATCAAAGAGTCATTCGGACTTTTATTCCGAAAACATTGTAAATCTGTGACCATGCCCAATCATAATTGATTCAGTAATAGTTACTCTGATGATTTGTTTATTTTAACTTACCATTGAAGTTTTTTATTTACTTTTTTAAAGGGTGTAAAATTTTCTCTATATTTTTGTTGAAAATTATTAATCATGAATTACGAACCTAATCGTGAACCAGATGTAAGTTTGTTGACTATTCCACGGCCAACTGACAAAGATTTTAATTCAACAATTGCGATTGTTGCTCAGCCAGACGGATCTGGTCACCAGGAAGTTCCAACTTCTCCCGTACCTTCTCACGATTCCGGTTTTACCGTAAGTCCTAGCACATTTAGAGACAACACTTATGTTTCAAATGACGTTGGAGCCACTAGTTCAGGGGTAGTTTTAACTGTCGGAACGACCTTTGAAAATTGGGAACATGTTGACGAATATCTTGAGATATATGGGCGTGAGCAAGGTTTTGTCGTTAGAAAAAAACGTGTGGAAAGAGACGAAATGGGAATGGTTAGGAAAAGGACATATGATTGTGAACATGGGGGACGTTACACACCAAAGAAAAAGGCAGCGTTGTCTGAACAACGCAACAGGACCTCAAAGCGTATTGAATGCGGATGGCATATCAATCTTTCTTTTCCCAAAACTAGCTCACACATAACTGTTACCACTTTTGTAAATGAGCATAATCATACGTTAAATCTTCAACAAACGCGAGAACCTCGTCCATCAACACATGCGCCATCGGCTCACTCTGTTTCACCAAGATATCGAAGCGTACTGGAAGCAGCAACAGTACCTAAAAATCGTAGCTTACCAAAATCTGTACTTGAAGACATTGAATTCTATACTCTTCATGGAAATCTTGGCGTCACAACCCAGCGACAATTATTGAAGGCGAAGTATCCAAATCATCAACTACCTGCACGTGATATTGCCACTGCAGTTCAAAAGTTTAAAGGTGACACAGACATAAAGCAATTAGATAATGACGCAGCAAAACTTTGGATTTGGGAATTAGCTAGGAAAGCAACGCAAATTGCGGTTGATCAACAAGACCACAGTTTGGAAGAGCTTTTAAAAAGTTATATAAAGAACAAGGAGGAACGTACGAGAACGAATTCTCAGAATACACAACAATAAGCTTGTATATAATATGTATAATAACGTAGACAGAGATCGAGGTTATTTCAAGTAAGACAAGAAAAAGCATTAATTGACGCAATAAAAAAGATATAAAAAAGAGGGATAGATATATATGTAATTTTTAATTGTTGGTTAGTGTATTATTTATTTTACGCTGAAGCTGATTTATAGAACAAAGTTGAGCAAAGTTGAGAATTTTTAGGGGATGATTTAACTTTGTGAAAGCTTTGCTTTCAACCAATGAATTGGAACGTTCCGGAGCTTAGTAAAGGATGGTAGCGGTTGATCTATAAGTAGGACATTATGCATGATTCAAAAAAAAGGAATTCTATTATGTTATTTCTTTACTTTTTCTTGGGTTATGTTTTCATCCAAAAATAAATTTTTTTTTTTTTACAAAAACAATTTCATTATCATTTATATTTTGACTTATCATTTGTATATTATATTTCTTTTAATGCATATAGTTATATCATTTCTAGTTTATAACGAGTTTTTTTTTCTCTTTTTTTTTTTTTTTTTTTTTTTTTAATATAATTTGTATTTTTATTTATAGAAAGAAACAAATATTGATTTTATCTTACATCTAACAATGTGTTTTATGCATTAATTTCAGATTAATCTTTCGGGATTTGTAACGGTGATTTATTAATTTATTTATATAAGGTTTTGTATATCCGATTCTTATTTTATTTTTTACGCTTAATTATATTTGCTATTGAAATATATCTTATATGTAATGATATTATAATTTTTAATTGTAAAAATTTGACACCAAAAATTGTAAAAAAATTATAAATAGAGAATAAAAAAAAATACTGGAATAGTTCACATGATTTTCACGTGCCCAAAAATAAATATTAGTTGAACCAGAATTGGTAATTTTTTTTTATTATGCAAGTTGATCAAAGTTCGATCATTGGAAATCAATGAACAATCATTGGTCAAATTCTACATAAATAACGGAGTTTTGTTTTTTAAGGTTTAAAATTGACAATACACAAGACGAAAAATTTTAAAAAAGTTCAAAAATGGATGGGAAAGATGAACACGTTTTCGACGCTAAGGGTGAAGGGGGTACCGTAGATAAATTGCGGGCTAAACAGGAAAAAAAGGATATGAAAAAAGCGAAAAAGAAGGCAGCAAAAAATTCTGCTCGTGGCTCAACGGAAGATACATCCGCTGCTGTGTCAACTAAAGAATTAGAGGTACAAGAAAAAGTGAGAAAGTTGGTGAATCAACTAGCAATTCGTGATGCGATACAGCCAGTCTCCGGTTCTAGTAGTTCACAGAAGCAAAAGGACATGAGTTCTCACAAATTTTGGAGTACTCAACCTGTTCCAAAACATGGTAAGTGGATATAAATCTATGCAATTCATTTATTACTTTTTGATTAACCGATTTGGTCGATAGGTGAGACGGTTGAAGATGATGGTCCAATAGAGCCCAATACTCCACATGATCAAATTCGTAAAGAACCATACGTTTTACCCAAAGAATTTGAGTGGACAACTTTGGATTTAAATAATGAACCGGATGTAATTATTTCTATTTCTTATTTAAAAAGTTTAGATACGCTTTTCTCGTTTCCAACTTTTATTTTTTAATTATTTAAAGATATGTTGTGTGTTGTTGATCGGATTTTCATTAGCTAAACGAGCTCTACACTCTTTTGACAAATAATTATGTCGAAGATGACGATGCGATGTTTCGTTTTGATTATTCTGGTGATTTCCTGAAATGGTAAGGGTTTTCTTTCTCGTAAAAGTCACGTGCTTTATGAATCAATTTGTTAACATTTGTTATCTGTGATAAGGGCGCTTCAACCACCAGGTTACTTAAAAATTTGGCACGTAGGTGTTCGTGTCTCTTCTAACAAGAAACTTGTTGCATTCGTTAGTGGTATTCCGGCAGATATTCGAATTTATGATTCGTAAGTTTTATAATCTAATTACTTTGGTTATTTCTTTAGAGTTGTTTTTTATAATTAACGTCCTTGTATTTAATCTCAAAAGTCATCAGCATCTCGTCGAAATTAATTTTTTGTGTGTCCATAAAAAGCTCCGAAGTAAACGACTAGCACCTGTATTAATCAAAGAAATTACACGACGTTCTCACTTACAAGGAATATTTCAAGCGGTATATACAGCTGGTGTTGTCCTTCCAAGACCTATCGCTAAAGCCCGGTATGCTATAATTTTAGAATTTTAGAATTTTTATTAACCAATATTTTTTTTTCCTATTAACATTAGCTT